AAGAAAGAAAGAGAAAGTATAACGCTATCAGGCACTTACCGTCTGCTTCAATAGAAAGAAAGAAAGAAAGAAAGAAAGAGAAAGTATAACGCTATCAGGCACTTACCGTCTGCTTCAATAAAAAGAAAGAAAGAAAGAAAGAAAGAAAGAGAGAAAGAAAGAAGCGATAACGCTATCAGGCACTTACCGTCTGCTTCAATAGAAAAGAAAGAAAGAAAGAAAGAAAGAAAGAAAGAAAGAAAAGGATAACGCTATCAGGCACTTACCGTCTGCTTCCAATTCAAGAAAGAAAGAAAAGAAAGAAAAGAAAGAAAGAAAGAAAGAAAGTATAACGCTATCAGGCACTTACTGTCTGTTTCAATAAAAGAAAGAAAGAAAGAAAGAAAGAAAGAAAGAAAGAAAGAAAGAAAGAAGCGATAACGCTATCAGGCACTTACCGTCTGCTTCAATAGAAAGAAAGAAAGAAAGAAAGAAAGAAAGAAAGAAAGAAGCGATAACGCTATCAGGCACTTACCGTCTGCTTCAATAGAAAGAAAGAAAGAAAGAAAGAAAGAAAGAAAGAAAGAAAGAGAAAGTATAACGCTATCAGGCACTTACCGTCTGTTCAATAGAAAGAAAGAAAGAAAAGAAAGAAAGAAAGAAAGAAAGAAGTTAACGCTATCAGGCACTTACCGTCTGCTTCAATAGAAAGAAAGAAAGAAAAGAAAGAAAGAAAGAAAGAAAGAAAGAAAGAAAGAAAGAAGGATAAGGCTATCAGGCACTTACTGTCTGCTTCAATAGAAAGAAAGAAAGAAAGAAAGAAAGAAAGAAAAGAAGGATAACGCTATCAGGCACTTACCGTCTGCTTCAACAGAAAGAAAGAAAGAAAAAAAAAAGAAAGAAAGAAAGAAAGAAAGAAAAAGAAAGAAGAAAATAACGCTATCAGGCACTTACCGTCTGCTTCAATAGAAAGAAAGAAAGAAAGAAAGAAAGAAAGAAAGAAAGAAAGAAAGAAAGAAGGATAACGCTATCAGGCACTTACCGTCTGCTTCAATAGAAAGAAAGAAAGAAAGAAAGAAAGAAAGAGAGAGAAAGTATAACGCTATCAGGCACTTACCGTCTGCTTCAATAGAAAGAAAGAAAGAAAGAAAGAAAGAAAGAAAGAAAGAAAGAAGCGATAACGCTATCAGGCACTTACCGTCTGCTTCAATAGAAAGAAAGAAAGAAAGAAAGAAAGAAAGAAATAAAGAAAGAAAGAAAGAAAGAGAAAGTGATAACGCTATCAGGCACTTACCGTCTGGTTTCAAAAGAAAGAAAGAAAGAAAGAAAGAAAGAAAGAAAGAAAGAAAGAAAGAAAGAAGGATAACGCCATCAGGCACTTACCGTCTGCTTCAATAGAAAGAAAGAAAGAAAGAAAGAAAGAAAGAAAGAAAGAAAAAGTATAACGCTATCAGGCACTTACCGTCTGCTTCAATAGAAAGAAAGAAAGAAAAAAGAAAGAAAGAAAAAAGAAAGAAAGAAAAAAGAATGAAAGAAAGAAAGAAAGAAGCGATAACGCTATCAGGCACTTACCGTCTGCTTCAATAGAAAGAAAGAAAGAAAGAAAGAAAGAAAGAAAGAAAGAAAGAAGCGATAACGCTATCACGCACATACCGTCTGCTTCAATAGAAAGAAAGAAAGAAAAAAGAAAGAAAGAAAGAAAGAAGAAGCGATAACGCTATCAGGCACTTACTGTCTGCTTCAATAGAAAGAAAGAAAGAAAGAAAAGAAAGAAAAACGCTATCAGAAAGAAAGAAAGAAGCGATAAGGCTATCAGGCACTTACCGTCTGCTTCAATAGAAAGAAAGAAAGAAAGAAAGAAAGAAAGAAAGAGAAATTGATAACGGTATCAGGCACTTACCGTCTGCTTCAATAGAAAGAAAGAAAGAAAGAAAGAAAGAAAGAGAAAGTATAACGCTATCAGGCACTTACCGTCTGCTTCAATAGAAAGAAAGAAAGAAAGAAAGAAAGAAAGAAAGAAAGAAAGAAAGAAGCGATAACGCTATCAGGAACTTACGGTCTGCTTCAATAGAAAGAAAGAAAGAAAGAAAGAAAGAAAGAAAGAAAGAAAGAAAGAAAGAGAAAGTATAACGCTATCAGGCACTTACCGTCTGCTTCAATAGAAAGAAAGAAAGAAAGAAAGAAAGAAAGAAAGAAAGAAAGAAAGAAGCGATAACGCTATCAGGCACTTACCGTCTGCTTCAATAGAAAGAAAGAAAGAAAGAAAGAAAGAAAGAAAGAAAGAATGAAAGATAGAAAGAAAGAAGCGATAACGCTATCAGGCACTTACCGTCTGCTTCAATAGAAAGAAAGAAAGAAAGAAAGAAAGAGAAAGTATAACGCGATCAGGCACTTACCGTCTGCTTCAATAGAAAGAAAGAAAGAAAGAAAAAAGAAAGAAAGAAAGAAAAAGCGATAACGCTATCAGGCACTTACCGTCTGCTTCAACAGAAAGAAAGAAAGAAAGAAAGAAAGAAAGAAAGAAAGAAAAGAAAGAAAGAAGGATAACGCTATCAGGCACTTACTGTCTGCTTCAAAAGAAAGAAAGAAAGAAAGAAAGAAAAGAAAGAAAGAAAGAGAAAGTATAACGCTATCAGGCACTTACCTGTCTGCTTTAAAAGAAAGGCAGAAAGAAAAAGAAAGAAAGAAAGAAAGAAAGAAAGAAAAGAAAGAAAGAAAGAAAAAGAAAGAAAGAAGCGATAACGCTATCAGGCACTTTCCGTCTGCTTCAATAGAAAGAAAGAAAGAAAGAAAGAAAGAAAGAAAGAAAGAAAGAAAGATAACGCTATCACGCACATACCGTCTGCTTCAATAGAAAGAAAGAAAGAAAAAAAAAGAAAGAAAGAAAGAAGCGATAACGCCATCAGGCACTTACCGTCTGCTTCAATAGAAAGAAAGAAAGAAAGAAAGAAAGAAAGAAAGAAAGATAACGCTATCAGGCACTTACCGTCTGCCTTCAATAGAAAGAAAGAAAGAAAGAAAGAAAAAAAAAGAAAGAAAAGTATAACGCTATCAGGCACTTACCGTCTGCTTTCAATAGAAAGAAAGAAAGAAAGAAAGAAAGAAAGAAAGAAGAAAGAAAGAAAGGCGATAAAGAAAGAAAGAAAAAAAAAGAAAGAAAGAAGCGATAACGCTATCAGGCACTTACCGTCTGCTTCAATAGAAAGAAAGAAAAGAAAAAAGAAAGAAAGAAAGAAAGAAAGAAAGAAAGAAAAAAAAAGAAAGATAACGCTATCACGCACATACCGTCTGCCTAATAGAAAGAAAGAAAGAAAAAAGAAAGAAAGAAAGAAGCGATAACGCTATCAGGCACTTACCGTCTGCTTCAATAGAAAGAAAGAAAGAAAGAAAGAAAGAAAGAAAGAAAGAAGCGATAAGGCTATCAGGCACTTACCGTCTGCTTCAATAGAAAGAAAGAAAGAAAGAAAGAAAGAAAGAAAGACAAATATAACGCTATCAGGCACTTACCGTCTGCTTCAATAGAAAGAAAGAAAGAAAGAAAGAAAGAAAGAAAGAGAAAGTAACGCTATCATGGACTTACCGTCTGCTTCAATAGAAAGAAAAAGAAAGAAAGAAAGAAAGAAAGAAAGAAAGAAAGAAAGAAAGAAAGAGAAAGTATAACGCTATCAGGCACTTACCGTCTGCTTTAATAAAAGAGAAAGAAAGAAAGAAAAGAAAGAAAGAAAGAAAGAAAGAAAGAGAAAGTATAACGCTATCAGGCACTTACCGTCTGCTTCAATAGAAAGAAAGAAAGAAAGAAAGAAAGAAAGAAAGAAAGAAAGAAAGAAAGAAAGAGAAAGTATAACGCTATCAGGCACTTACCGTCTGCTTCAATAGAAAGAAAGAAAAGAAAGAAAGAAAGAAAAAGAAAGAGAAAGTATAACGCTATCAGGCACTTACCGTCTGCTTCAATAGAAAGAAAGAAAGAAAGAAAGAAAGAAAGAAAGAAAGAAAGAAGGATAAGGCTATCAGGCACTTACCGTCTGCTTGGGCAGAAAGAAAGAAAGAAAGAAAGAAAGAAAGAAAGAAAGAAAGAAAGAAAGAAAGAAAAAGAAAGAGAGAAAGTATAACGCTATCAGGCACTTACCGTCTGCTTCAACAGAAAGAAAGAAAGAAAGAAAGAAAGAAAGAAAGAAAGAAAGAAAGAAGCGATAACGCTATCAGGCACTTACCGTCTGCTTCAATAGAAAGAAAGAAAGAAAGAAAGAAAGAAAGAAAGAGAAAAACATTAAGAAATGAGAAAATATAAGAAACGACGGGAGAAAGAAAAGATGAAGAAAGAAAAGACGCAAAGGAGAAAATATTAGAAAAAGAAAAAAAAAAGAAACAAATAATAGAAGAATGAAAGAAAATATGTAAACAGAAAGAAGAAAAAGAAGAATAGATGACAAAAACGAAAAAAGAAAATGGAAAAATGAAAAGGGGGCGATGAATGACAAAATGAAAATGCAATGAGAAAGTAAGAAAAAAAGAAAGAAAGAAAACCTAGTTGTGTGAAAAAGAGAAAAATAAAAGAAGAAAAGGAAATTGTTTGAAGAAACTTCGAAATTGTGAAACCGCCTCAAAAATTGTGGAATGGAAATGGAATGGTAAAGTTTGGTTGCACAGAGAGAGAATTGCGATTCTTCACTGTTTAGGACCAATTAATGTCAGTTGGAATTACCAAAATTCCTGCGGACATGGCGGCTCCGTTATCTGTTTATGTTTGTAATGGACAAACTCAATGTGCGAGCATCTTTGTTTTTTTAAAGAGTTCACACGATGTGTCTTCTTCCCAGCCACGCAAATCTTGTTAACACCAGAGCCTTCTGGTGTCAGACATTTTTTCTTCTCTTTCAATTTCTCTTTTTTTGTTGCTTCTTTCTTGATTTATAAACCACTTCATTTTTGCCTATCTATTTTGTTATTGAAAGGGTGGTGGACCCCCCCCCCATCACGCTATTGTATCTGTAAGCCTTTCACATCGTTCCCAATCCCTACCGATGAACAAATCCCCTTTCCCAACCAGGTTTGTAAACCTCTTTCTACTTCCGATCGAATTGACTCTTGCTTGTCATTCTTTTCCCTTTCAATTGGATGATTCTCCAGCTGTTGATATTTCACTCTCTCTTTCTCTTTCTCTCTCTCTCTCTCTCTCTATCTCTCTCGCTCTCTCTGTCAAGTAATGTATATTTCCATCTTCCTCTCTCTCTCTCTCTCTTGTTTGCACACGCTATTTTTCTCGCGTTCGTTTACACACACCTTACCAGTTTTATCCTCGCTATATTTTTTCTTTCGATCTATTTATGTATTTATTTTGATGTTTGGCCAAATTTTGTTAATTTGGACGGGTCAAGAACTTTTCAGCACTCATTTATCTATATAACCTTTATTTCAGTTTGCATACATGTTTGTATGTTGGTCCCAATGTCTGGGAACGTCTGCTAAAAATCCCCTCCCCAAATTTATAGACAAACCCTACAAATGCATGATGTGATTTCTTCATCTATATCAATAAAGTGCAGTGTCCGTATGTCCGTCAGTCCGTTTTTCGATTTCGGTGAATCATAAACAACCTGAAGTAAAAGGTAATAACGACTATTGTCATACACGTTTAAAAATTAAATAAATAACTTATTCAAAGTTAAATTTAAATATCGAACAGAGTGAAAGTTTTAAAAACAATTTTCTATTAAAGGTTTAACTTTAATTTCACTTTTCGTCGCAATTGCAATTGATATCGTCTAATTAAACTGTAATTAAAAATTAATCGGGGCACGGTACGTTGCTCATATGTTTTTTCTTTCTTTTTCTAGCACGCGTACTGTGACGTCTATGAAATATTACATAGCTCGGATTCCCTGTTTTTTAAGAGTGACTTTCTGTGAAGGGATCATAAAGAATGGTGATTTTAAAAGTACAGAAAAATTGCGCGCAAAATAAATGTAAACAAAATACGGAGATCAGTTGCGTATACGAAGAAAGATTATGCCGAAGCAATGTGTCGAATAAAGATAAAATAATTTTATTATTTTTAAATTCTTATAACTTTTACGTACATAGGATGCTAACGGTAAAAAGGCGGAAGGGCCATAACCCCTCCGCAGTAGTTGCATAAAGTTCGACAGAATGGCGGCTTCTAGGATAGTAGTCAATAAAAATGGGCAGTTCTTCGTTTTAACCACATATTTTCCTTTTTTGCTTTTTAAAAGACTATAAACACTTGACTGTATCCCGTTTGCGTATGAACACTGTTTCATTCTTTCCGTATAATAATTGCTTTATTCAGTTGTCTTACAGTTGCTTAACTTTGTATTACAGTATTCATTCCTTGCATTAATTTTTATCTGTTCTTTTTAATTTTTTTCGTATTGTTGTTATTAGGAATTTTGCCAATTCCATTTTAAAATGCTCGCTTATTCAACAATGTTATCCAGTAACGATTGTGCTGACACGAAGTCACAAGTCATCGTGACCGAGGGCTTAAACGTGCTCAACTTGTTCAAACTGATGATTTTATACGCTCTCTCCCAGAAACCGTAACTAAGGTCCGCTCAGCAGTATAAACCAGAGGTGGGCTTCATGGACGTTGGACAAACATGAATGTGTCCGAGCAGGTGTTTTTAACAGGGATTAGCTAGCCTCCCTAGCAGATGGTTGTGCTTGGAAACGAGTAACGTACCATAGTCAGGTCATCCTATCAGTGCTTGTTTGATAAAAGTTCGCAAAGTCCAAACGAAGCCAACTCGCAAAAAAATCCACCTTGTAGGACAAGTAAATTGCTTTGATAACAGTCCGGTGGACTTTTATCCTGTTGGCGATCTGCATAGAATTGGATTAGCACGTTTATCGAACGCAATCCATTCCACTCATTAAAATTTTATTGATGATCGATTAGTAGAAGCTAATTTACATGAGGTCGCTTACCTCATTCAGGGGTCAAGCATTTTTCTTTCATTTCTTATTTTTCTCCTTTTTTTTTCTTCAAAAGTCGCATGCAACGCGAAAGAAGAAAATGGTGACATACTCCGACGGTCAAAAGACTCTGTACAGAAGAAAATGGTGACATGTCACCATTTTCTTCTGTACAGAGTTTCTTTTCTTTCTATGTGCCGTGTCCTTTCAGGACGTAGGCGCCTTCAATCCCTTGCAACCCTCAACAAGTTCCTTCCCTCTGCCACCTCCCCCAAATCATGTTCTGTCACCCACTTGCTCAAGCCCGCTAGGTATGTCATGCGTTGTTTTCCCTTGTCTCGACCCGTGAGTATCAGATTCTCCAGGCCCTCCTTCCTCATTATGTGTCCCAGGAACGTCAACTGCCTCTTCCTGATATTAAGTATAAGCCTCCTCCTTGCTTGCATCCTTTCTAAGACCTCATCGTTGCTCACATGCTCGGTCCATGATATCCTTAGTATCCTTCTGTAGAAACACATCTCCGTCACCTCAGGTCTCTTCTTTATCTTTGAGGAAATCGTCCAATATTCGCTGCCGTAAAGAAGAACAGATTTCACGTAATAGCTCAATATTCTTTTCTTTGTTACCAAAGAAATCCTCCTGTCTCGTAATACTCTGCCCAGCTTTTGGAATGTGTCCTTGGCCATCCCAATACGTCTACGGATCTCAGTGTCGCACTTACCGTCCTCTGTCAGATCGCTTCCCAGATATTTAAACTTCCGTGTCTGCTTGAATCTAGTGTCCCCGACCTGCAAATCCTTTTACAGATGACCATGCATTCTGTCTTCTTGTAGTTTATGTTTAGTCCTTTCTTCTCACTCTCCGACTCTACTTTTTGTAGCAGATTTTGTAATTTCTTTTCCGTGTCTGCTATCAGTATTTTATCATCTGCGTATCTTATGTTGTTAAGATTGTGGTCGCCAATGCTAAATCCAAGTAGGGTTTCCAATTCTCTCAGAATCGCCTCGCTGTATAAGTTGAATAAGTCAGGTGAAAATACACATCCTTGCGTTACGCCTCTTTATATTTCTGTATATTCGCTGAACCCGTCCTCCATGCGCATACATGCTGTTTGCTACCAGTATAGGTTACCGGTACTATTTAAATCCAGTATTACCTTCGCGTTATCGGTGGCTAAACCGGTTCCTCCACCAGCCTTTCCTGGTGAGGTAGTTGGCTAGGCATCCAGCAGGATTAAAAACCAAAGGGCGGATGAATCCTTTTATGGGACCAACGGCCATCTAACACAGGCGTGAGGATGTAGAAATACACGGGTTGTTGTACAGGCGCGCGGTAAGCCCAGTGGAAGCGTTTAACCCATTAGCCGTCGATAAAGGCATCCAACTCGGAAAAGATAGATTCTGATCCCTGACAGCGTCCAATGATGTTGACTGGTTCTTCTGTTTTAGATACACCTTGATCTTGCATAGGGAGAGTGGGATTGGCCCAGTTCAATGTTACTTTGTAAAATTTCACGACATGCATTGCTTGATATCATGTAACGAATGAGTCTTTCAATGATAGTCATATTTGACAACGAGGTGACAGCCATTATCATACATGTATGCATGTTGCGCGTGGTAGACATTTTAACGGTCGTCTTCGAGTATAGAATCCAGAGGTTAGCAGTGAATATTTCGGAGACAGTAGGAAAGCGTAGTTCAGGTTAGCAGTGGATATCGCAGCAAAGTAGCAGAGCGTAGTTCTTTCTTCTGTCATCTTCGCCTGACAAGTTGGCACTGGTCATTCGAGTAGGAAAACAAAAATGGCCGCCTTTATACACGACGAATACAGTGTTCTGCGGCTTCTGATTGGTTAATCTTCTATTGGTAAACTATAAAGGGAGTTAAGTCATTTTGACTAACTCACAACATATACACAAAAAACTGTAACAGCGCAGTGACGTCAAACTACCTTGGTTGTTATCTAGGCGTACGGTAAACCGAATAGGAGTGAGGGACCCCGAGCCTTTGTTAAGGTATCCATCTAGGAGAAGAAAAACTTGTATGTAAAACCCGCGTTAAACTGGATATATTGTTCCTGCTTCTCTCTAGAATATTTTGTACAGCTGATGTGAGCTATTGAGGTGTTCTGCATGTTATATACGATTATAATTTAACACGGGCATTGCTGACAACTTTTTAAAATTAGCAATGATCATGCGTTTTTAACGAGTAGATAATTATCATGGAGTTATCTATCTATCTATGGCAGTTTTCGTATCTATCTATCTATCTCTTGCTCTGTTCATATTTATCTATCTATCTCTGTTCATATCTAGATATTTGTCTCAATCTCTTCATATCTATATCAGTCTGTTCATATCTATGTATCTATCTATCTATCTATCTATATGTCTGCCTGTCTACACTATTCGGATCTATCAATATAAATATCTGTCTGTTCAAATCTTTCTGTATCAGTCCATTCATCTCCTCTCTCTCTCTCTCTCTATATATATATATATATATATATATATATATATGTGTGTGTGTGTGTGTGTGTGTGTGTGTGTGTGTATCAGTCCATTCGTATCTATCTATCTTTCTATATATGGACCTGTTCATATCTTAACCTGCTTCTATGTTCATATCTAGCTGCTACAGTTATTTATATCGACAATTACATTTCTGTACTTTCAAAATCTTCGATATCCTCATGGTATAGATAAATTTCAATAGTGCTTTTACTCGCTCGCTCTTTAAAATTCTTTCCTGACCATCGCCACCACCATCACCACCATCACCACCACCAAATCAACAAGTATTCTTGCCTTTTTATTATCCAATCGTTTTACGTTTAATCCCGTGTTAAATGTCGGAAAAACGACGAGGAGAAAATATATAAAGAGAAAAAAAACGACGATTGCTTCGTGTCAAAACATGTTTTCACACTGCGACATCCAAACGAGACATTTTTTTCTTTACATATACTTCGATTGGATTACATCTTCATTATAACCTGTCGTCAATCTTTCACAGCTTCTTCATTTTTACTAATCTGCTCTTATCTTAGGACGTTCTTATCTCTCGCAGTTCCCATCTATCCCAGTCTGTTCCTATCTATCTATCTATCTATCTATCTATCTATCTATCTATCTCGGGTTCTTTATCTATCTATCTATCTATCTATCTATCTATCTATCTATCTATCTATCTATCTCAGTCTGTTCATTAAATTTCTATCTTAGTCCGTTCATATCTATTTATCGAAGTCCGTTCATATCTATCTATTTGTCTGTCTAACTGCCTTATCATCTATCTGTCTGTCTGCCTGTCCGTCTGTTTGTCTGTCTTGTTTTATCCCAGTCTGTTCCTATCTTCTATCTATCTATTTTATCTATCTATCTATCTATCTATTCATCTGCCTGTTTGTCTGTCTGTTCATCTCAGTCTGTTCATATCTATCTATCTATCTATCTATCTATCTATCTATCTATCTATCTATCTGTCTGTCTGCCTGTCTGTCTGTTTGTCTGTCTGTCTGTTTATCCCAGTCTGTTCCTTTCATCTATCTATCATTGTCTGTTCATTCAGTCTGTGTTCATTTCATTCATCTATTTTTCATCTATCTATCTATCTATCTGTCTGTCTGCCTGTCTGTCTGTTTGTCTGTCTGTCTGTTTATCCCAGTCTGTTCCTATCTATCTATCTATCTATCTATCTATCTATCTATCTGCCTGTTTGTCTGTCTGTCTATCTCAGTCTGTTCATATCTATCTATCTATCTATCTATCTATCTATCTATCTATCTGTCTGTCTGTCTGCCTGTCTCAGTCTGCTCATATCTATTTATCTAAGGCTGCCCGCATCTATCTCTCTAACTAGCTAGCTAGCTAGCTATGTTTTTACATACGTATTTATTTATCTGTCTTTCTCAGTCTGTTCATATCTATCTGTTTGTTCAAATTTATCTATCTGAGTATATATATATATATGTGTGTGTGTGTGTGTGTGTGTGTGTGTGCTTGTGCGCGTGTGTGTGTCAGCTAGTTAAGATCTATTCGCACATACATACAAAGACACAAACACGCAAACATACGCACACACACACGCATATATATATATATGTGCATGTGTGTGTGTATGTGGCTGGGGGAATACGATATATACATTTTTTATATATCAAGAACAATCTTATGAAAACCAATAACAAAGTGGAAAAAGTTTTGTCTGAAGCGTTTCGTCCTTCCGAACTTCATTGGACTAAAATGATGTTTATGTTGATCTGGCCACACATACGAACGAAGGAGAGGAAACACTGAGAATTTATAAGAAAAACACATTTAATGAATGTTTTGTGTATATAATGTAGCCGATTTCATTTAGTTTATTTTTGATTATGTTTCCATCTCTTTTGTTATTAAATATTCCACACTGCGATAAGCTCTGCCAAGAACGGTAAAACGTTGTTAGAAACTGGACATAAATTTACTGTACGTGTTCTATCAATTAAAGCACTTTCTATACATTTTTATTTTAGTAAAGGAGCCCCTAAATGACGAAATGCGTGACACGAAAACTTTTCCCACTTTGTCATAGCTTTTTTTTTCTAAAACGCATATATATATATATATATATATATATATATATATATAAATTGTGTGTATTTAGGCAGCATTTTTTCATTGATGTATGTTTCATTAAATATTATAGGCAAGTTTTGTCTATTTATTTTATGTACATTCTTTGCATATCGTCTGATAAGCTTAATAACATTATCATTTTTTAATCCTATCTAAGCTTTCGGCTGACATAATTGATAACAGAAGGTTCCCATACTTAATACTTTTCGTTTTTACTGTTGGTCATGTGTGACGTCATGAGGTGCGGTGCGATTTTCGCTTCCAGCGTCTCGTATGCACGAGTTTATCGTTGCTTGGAAATCTTCCATGTAAACAAAAACAGACTATCATTATTGTTTTGTCCGTGTATTGTTTAATATATTGTAATGTAATTGTCATCTTTGATAATGGCTTATGTAATCCGAAAGCTTAGATAGGATTAAAAAATATGTATCAATATTGTGATTTTCTTTCTTTTTTTTTTTTTAATGATAATGTTATTAAGTTTATCAGGCGATATGAAAAGAATTTACATAAAATAAATAGACAAAAGTTGTCTATATTATTTAATAAAACATGCATCAATATATATATATATATATAATTGAACAAAATAAACGTCATTTTTTATACCTTAAGGATCCTTTCGACCAACGCTTTTTCAAAAGGTATTCGTAGGCGATATACAATCACAATCAAGACACATTAATAATATACAAGAAATCACAGGGTGGTTTTCAACTGTGAAGAATTCTTAAAAGATTGTTTCGACTTTTGGTGTGTAGCAGTCACTTCCAAATTATCATGATGGTCACTCCTTAACGAATACGTTTTGAAAAAGCGTCGGTCGAAAGGATCCTAAAGGTATAAAAAATGACGTTTATTTTGTTTCAAATATATATATATATATATATATATATATATATATATATATATATATATATATATATATATGGTAGTAGTAGTAGTAGTAGTAGTAATAATCTTTATTATACTCGTCCGAAAAATCTTCGGTGTCTTGATTTGCAAATAATCAAACCAATATCAAAGGGGAAAAAAGGTAGAAAAAAAAAGAAAGAAGCAAGAACATGTACTTTAGACGAAAATAATCATCTAGCATTCAAGTCCAAAGCCCAAAGAAAAAAACTGATGCCAGTACCCAAAATAACTAAATAAATTGCTCAATACAGTCAGTAGAGAGACCTGTTAAATTTAGAGAGCCAGACAACTACCAAGGTTTCACCAAGCGGACTTCAGGGAAGTCTTAGGTGAAACCTGGTAAGTTTGTCTGGCTCTCTAGGTTTAACTATATATATATATATATATATATATATATATATATATATATATAGATCTGTTTTATTTTTGTGGGTACAAGTCCTTATTTATATATATATAGCGACTATCATACATGTATGCATGTCGCGCGGTGCCGTCAAAATACTTCGGTTGGCATCTATACTAACCGAGGTATATTAATATATATATACTAGCAGTAGAGCCCGGCGTTGCCCGGGGATGTAACAGTAAGAGATAGATCAAGTATCGACCATCATAAAGACTGAAAATAAAATTGACAAAGATTATTGTTTAAGGTTGACGGACACGCATGTCTTAATTAGTTGTTTTTTTTGTTTTTTTTACGAATTGGTCAAACAAAAACATTGTTTTCAATCGTTATGAGTCTACCGATTGAATAGAATTTTATTATAAACAATTGTCTTGTAAATGGAATTTTTAAAGCATTCTGAATGTAAAAATAATGAAAAAAGTGTGCAAGACAATAAGAAACACTACCTGCCAAAAAAAAAGTGAAGTTTTGTTGAAATCGGTTGAAAATGTAGGAAATCTGATCCCATATATAAACGAACACACACACACACACACACACAACCAACCTGAGTTTTATAATAAGTATAACTCAATATGAGTTGTCCCCCTTTCATTCTCGCGATGCCTCTTAATCGTGTTTTCAAATTGATTTCGCGCAAAAACAATTGTGTTTTACAATTTTTGGCGCTGTCAGAACCACCGCAAGGTAATTTTACGTAGTCCTGTGAAGTTTTGTTGAAATCGTTTGAAAAATGTAGGAAATCCGATCCAATATATAAACGTACAGACACACACACACACACACACACAACCTGGGTTTTATAATAAGTATGATACTTGTGTGCTCGTGTGTGTGTGTGTGTGAATAAAAAATAGGCAAATGGAAAATTAATCTTAGCCGATACGTTTCGTCCTCTGTTGGACTTTATCAGGACAAATGCAAGGATTTTATTTTGTAGCAATAATTTATATACAGCAGCCAAAATGTTATTGTTTTTTCAAAATCTTTGAGTTTAGAAACGCTCATAAATATTTATCAGGTGACCTGAAACGTCAGGCAAGCTATGGGAGACACGAAGTGATACAATTCAATGTCTAATAAACGAAAGTAAGTGATATTTTGGCTTTAAATATTAATAGAAGCACGAGGTCCGTGAACACTGCGCTATCATATCTGTATGTGTAGCACGGATTGCCCCACCTCGTAACGGGAATGCTAACTGATCACGCTCATGCAGTCTCAGGCGTTGTGCCATTCTGGGCAACACTAGTCTCTCTGAAATAAAAACAGAATTTAGCATTGCAATACGAGGGTGAGTAAAAAAGTAATGTAATTTTTAAAATAGGAGGCGCATTTGTCAATGGAATTATTCGAAATTCTTTACAGATGTAAAGGCAAATACACTCTTTATATATAATTACCAAATTCCTTTTTTTTTTTTAGCTATATTAATAAATAAGCTGATATGAAAATGGCTGCCATGCTGGAAGTCTGTCAGAAGCAAAGAATAATAATCGAGTTCTTTGTTGCGGAAAGAAGAAACACCTGTAAACATTCACAAAAGACTTCCACCTGTTTGGTCCAATGAAAGAGGCACTGAGAGGCAAACGTTATAACAGTGATGAAGAAGTGAAAACTGCTGTAAATAATTTGGTTACATCCGCAAGCAACCGAGTCTTACGAAAATGGGATGCATGCCATCATTCGTTAGTTGACCAGTGCCATTAAAAGAGATGCTGACTATTATTGACATGTAGGGATGTGGACCTGTGATGTATAGGTATAACTTTATGTATGATATAATTTAATATATGGTAATATATTCAAATAATATTCCTTATTACATAATAAAACAAATTGAATTACTTTTCGACTAAACCTCGTATATATATATATATATATATATATATATATATATATATATATATATATATATATATATCACGTAGATTTTAGCTTTAAAAATCAGGAGATAATTTGAGTTCATACCTTGGTTTCAACCTTACGTAAGGTTGAAACCAAGGTAGATTCAACAGACCTCCTGATTTTTAAAGTTAAAAGCTCTACATGTTATTTTTACTTTATTTTATTTTCACAAGTCTATAGGGTACTTTTTAATACTACTGTTTCCTGGTCTGATTCAACTCTGACCATTATAGTTATATATATATATATATATATATATATATATATATATATATATATATTTCGTTAAAGACGACTGACTACGTACTGAGATTTATTATTTATTTAATTTTTCTTGTATTCGTACAAGTGTTTTCTATTCTGGGTACAAAGTGTGTAAAAACTGTCCAAATGTTCTTTTAGCCATTATCAAGGAAACACATAAACAAACCTAAAATCTCCATCCGAAACAAATTAGTAGAAAGTACGCGCGTAATAACCTCATCCACATATAAAGACAGATTAAAAATAATGGAAGCACTAATAATATGTAAGAAAAAGCCAACGCTCTGTAACATTAACTACGAACACGGCCACAATGTGCTGACTGTGTTTGGAAAATAAAATATCCCTATAACTCTAGATACATACACACAGTAAAAATTAAAAATGAAATCATCCTTGATAATGGCTAAATGTAGAACCGAAACCGCTCCGAAAGGCAAAACATTTGGCCAGTTTTTACATACCTTGTGTACAGAAAAGAACACAAGAAAAATTAAATAAAAGCTTAATCGCAGTACCCTGTCCGTCGTCTTTAACGAAACATGTATAAAAGAAGGATTGGTGCCTAAATACACTATATATATTATGCAATGGACAAAGTCCGACAATTATTTTAAGACATTTTTATGTTTATGCATTCTTTTTATAGATACAAATATTTAAGTAAATGCTCTGTTTATAATAAACT